TTGTGAAAAAGAAAACATATATATGTAAAACTAGGTATTAACCTTTGATAAAATATTCTAAACTAGGATTATAGTAAGGAATCAAAGAAGCTGGGAAGCAAGCGGTCTAGTTAAGATTTAAATATACCGATTTTGATAGTTAGGTGACTAAAGTAAATAATGGTATAGATATGGAAGTTACGCAAGAAGGCAGGTAAATATACTGAATTTTTGAAAAATGGCAATTTTGGGTTGTAAGTTTGACATCAATTTTGACCAAACTCTAGCCCCAGGCTCCTCTCCGTCCAATATCTTGAGGACATACATAAATGGAAAGTTCTACTCTATTATGGTAGAGTCCAACATCAAATCTGTTTGGGAGCACAATTTACGAATGGATTTTCATGGCGCTTTTAGAATGCCCTCTAGAAGACTGGACTTTTGATGTTAAAAGGGCAAAAAATGAGGACTCCCCTCCTGAAACTCTAAAACTAAAAGTCAGAGAAGTGAGCCAAAGTGGCTTTTGAAATACCTCATCATACCCAGCTTCTGTGCCATGTTTCAGCCAAATCGGTTGACCACAACTTTTGGCCCCTAGAACACTCTCAGACAGTGACACTCAGAAGTAGAGCACGTGTATATGAAACTTGAAAACAATGCCAGTGAATAATGGGGACGCTCACTTGTAAACACAAAATCTCGGCGGAAAATTTGTTTCCAATGTCCTCGAGAGTTGCAGGCGACATAAATTGATGAGTAATCTCGGGATGGTCAAGTTTTTTAAAAGAATTATGAAGCGGTTTTTAAATTAAGGCGAAATGTGCAGGCGTGGACCAGCCGAACGCACGCCAATCAAATTCTCCTTCCTCGAATCGGCAAATTCTCCTTTCTCGCAAAGTACATTTCCAGACGTCATCATTTTCTTTAGATATCAGCCAATTATGTCGATAGCATGTTTATTATAGTCACTCCTCAGGTAAGACCAACCTCGTCCCCAGGGCGCTTTTCCCTAAGACGTAATGGCGTTATAACGTTGCCATGGAAACTCCGATGGCAATAAATTATCATCTTTATATGGTACAGCTGTGGCAGGAGCCCATCAAATTTGATGGGCTCCTACTGTGGTAGCCTTTTCCGGTATCTTTGTTAATATCGACGTAGACATGGTAGTAACCGCTCAAAGTAAGGAAGTAAAAGAAAAACATTCCAGTCGAGCCACCGTAAGGGTAATATGTAAAAGATTTAAAGTAACAAAGATATGGTGCTGTCATTCAACCTTGAATTGATGAAATGGAAACGAAATAACGCTGGTTCGTTAATTTAAAGTCCTAGAAGAAGAAAACAAGAAAATCGAAAGCCCTGTAGTAGTGGCATCCTGTTTAATACGTGTTACGTGACAGTGAAACGTGCCTACAAAAAAAAAAGAAACTTGATCAACTTCTTAAAGGAAGTTAATGTAAAGTCGTCTGTCTCTGGAAAGACTCCAGCTGCGTCCCTGTTTTCTAAGTAAGGGAGAAAATGCATATTCTGACTAGTTTCGGTTTCGGCACTTATGTGAACACCCTATGATTTAAAAACTGAAATCACTCTAGTGAAGGTAATGGGCTTTACAAAACCCCATAGGTGTAAACTTAGCTTAGGGTCTCCTACTCTGGTTAATGGTGATCAGACGAGTGTGAGTCTTCTTTTTCCTTTTTTTTTTCAGTTGCCTTAGGCGAAAAAGCAGGCATTGTCTTAGGGAAAAACCCTAATTATTTACGCTGATTTATTCAGCTCAGGCTCTTGCGGAGTTCTAGCTCTGACATTTTGAAAAAGATTTCATTACTTAACTGGTTTTAAAGCTACATTCCATACATCAGGGCCTTCACTTCTAAAATATTGTTCACCGAAAGAGGAAAATCAACTTGGAACATCTGGTTAAGGTAAGAACCGTCTAGTCGTGCTCCTTCATGAAGTACTAGTTGTGTTCTTTGAAAAAGCGGAAAACGAAGAGAGTCGTAAGCCGTTCTCTATTTTCCTGTGAGATTGTCACGAACGAGCGAAAGAGATAGAACCCTTCATGACTGAAAGTCCTAAAAAGCGATTCAGTGCCAGTCAGGATCATCCCCCTGAACCATCACGACGGATCCGACAGCAGTTGAAAACACTTTTCAAAAGATTGTTATTTCATCAAAAGATCGTTTTGAGTAGACTATTTTCATAACTAGTCATCAAAATTTTCACGAGACTGTTTTAGCTAAAAATAGGAACAGAATAGGTAACTTGAAAATGGATCCGTCTTCCTACATAAAAACTCTTGCTGCCATTTGACTGAAGATGATAATAATGATAATAATAATAATATTGATAACTGTTTATTCACAAATCCATAGAAAAATGAAAAGGAGATAAAGGAGGTTATCTCTTTCTTCTAGGTTATCTCCTGATAATAAAACAAATTAAAAACATTAATATATTATTTACAACTGTTTAAAGTACTAAATATAAGATATGTAATATAACACACGTTTGGAGAACTTAGTCTTAATTCACTAGAAAAATTTGCAAGATGACATCTCAGTCTGTTCTTAAAAGTGTTTAAATTTTCCACCTCAGCAATTTCCTTTGTCAGATTATTTTACTTGTCGATTATGCGTATAAAATAAGAATGTTTAAAACTATTTAAAGTTGAGGATGCAATCTTAAGTTTAAAACAGTGATTAGCTCTTAAGGGGCGAAAATCATGTGCAAATGTAAAATAAAGCTGAGGGATCTAATTCATTAAGTCTGGTTATTGTCTTATAACACTCGGTAAGCGACGAAAATAATCTTCTTTGTTGAAGTGTTGGCCATTTAAGGAACTCTAGACGTTCTTCGTAGGACATGTCTCGCCCAATATTTCCAAGGGAAAATTTGGATGCTGCTCTACGTTGTACTTTCTCCAAGTTATTTGAGTCTTTATTTAAGGTACGGACACCAAACTGGAGAGCAGTACATACTCGAGTATCGGACGTACCAGACAACAAGGAAGTCCAAGATGAGTGATGTCCTCGCAGGACGACGCCCTGGTATCGATTGGTAAGAAAGCTTCTAAGCCAAGACAGGAGTGGACCTTGGATACATTTGCGTGTATCTTTGTCAAAAGGCGTTCATGTGGCACCGAGTCAAAAGCTTTCGAAAGATCTAAAAAAATAACATCGGTTGACAAGCCTTTGTCGGAGAGTCTGTCCGAAAGCCTCTTGAAAATAGTATGGCAAATTAGGTGTTTTCTTGACGCTCTTGAACAACGAAAGCTTGTCTTTTTCAGTTCAAAATGATATGTTACACTTTTCTCGAAGTTACAATCAAGCTTTATTGTATCTACAGCTACATCTAAGCTTTCCGTCAACTCCTACCCTCGCAAAGAAAAAAGCGTTTGGTACTTTGTTGACACAGTGAATTTTACCACATTTTAGGATGTTAAAATATCGAGAGCCTGTAAATTTAGCGTTTGTAAAAGAACTCTTTTGGAGAGAACCATTTTTTCCTGTTTCTTATCCTAAATTATGATTTTTGGCTGCGAAAAGCTATCTGGCTATAAGTATATTTAATTATCTGGCTATAAATATTTTAAGCGGGTACTGTGGCGGTTTTCCATGTTTTCTTCCTTCGACCGACACTGCTTGAAGTCATTAGAAATGATTCATACAGCAGGGGTATTTCTCAGAATGTGAAGGGCCACCGAACGCCGAATGAACTGACTTTGAAGTTTAGTGATTAGCGTGTTGGAGAGCATGACGGTCATTTGCACAGGGCGAACTGAAAACAAACTTGATTTACTCAGCACTGAGAAGAATGATTTTGCGTTCTGCGACTGATCGGCCGTTATTCACAAAACTAGATTTTATTTGTCTTAGCAAACGAAGACAAGTTATCTTTGTATTATTATACTGTACCTTAGTCTATCCTTAACCTAGTCATTGTAATGTATTATGGTCTTCTACTCATGTAACAAACTTCAAACACATAATGACTGATCAACTGAAGATTTGATTTCGCATTTTAGCCGGCTATGTAATACTAATTTCGTACCACACAACTGGTGCACCATTCGTCAGATAAAATTTGGCAATTTTTCTCTGAAGAGTAAAGCCGCCAAATCTCCTTCCTTGTATTTTGGCGCAGAAAGTTTCAACAAAAGTTTTGACGATCGCAAGAGGACAAATTTTGTTCTGCATATATCATGTAGTTTCCTACTTTCGAATTCCCAGTTTTCAATTTGCTATAACCAATTCTCCGTGTTTCATTAGTTATGTAAACATTTGGTTTTTTTTTCGCGGAAATGGGGGAAACCCCTAATCATTTATTACCTGCAGGCTATCAGCTACTGATTTTCAGTTTCCAGCAGATAGAATATTTTATACTGTCAGTTTTTTTCAGTAAACTGAGATTTATATTGGTCGACCAGTTTCAAAAGACGTAACGTACCTGTGCATGCACTTCTAAAATGTCGTATTTACGACGTGCTTCGCGAACATCTAACTAAGGTAAGATCCATACGATCGAGCTTTCGTCGTGAAATTTCCTGAAGTGTAGTTTCTACTGGTCTCGTTTGGTCCTCCTCCTCCTTAGATCGCACCTCCCTGTAAAAAAACCTGGCTACGGGCCTGCTGTGCAAAAGAAATGGGACCGAACTTTGCCGAAATTCGGTGAAATTCGCGAATTTCGGCAAAAAAATTGCGCACTTTCGTTTCAGACGAAAATTCGGCGAAATTTCGGTGCATCTATTTTTCTACTCCCGGCAAAATTTCGAAAGCTAGGAGATGAACCGAAACGCAAGTTTGCGCAGTAAACCGAAATTTCGTTTTTAAAAAGTTTTCAACTGACCAGGGCGCGGTTGTTGAAAACAGGATTAAGATAACCCAGGATTAGAGCGAAATTTGACTTCAATTGTGAACGCTCCATTGCCATCCGCTCCCCATTTTACAAGAACCCTAGAACGGTCTTTGTTCTCGGGAAAAGGGAAAAAACCCTAATTACATATTTATGACCTTTCAGTTTCCTGTCGCTAATATAGATGAGTGGGAAATCAAGCTCTTCTGTTTCGTAAAAGGACTGAATGACATATAAAATTTCAGCTGGCCAGTAGGTTTAAAAACATAAAGCAGGACCTTCACTTCTAAACTGACATTGTATTTATGCGTATCGCCTGGAAAATCAATTTGGAACAGCAGCTAAGCTGAGGTAAGATCCGTACAGTCGTGCCTCTTTCTGAAGTGTTGACATCCAGGCGTATCACATTGAACGTTCGGTTTTCGAACTCAATCGAACAAGATGGAACTCCGGCCGCTTTGGAACGAAAGAGTTTGATGCAGTTCGGCCATCTAATTATCCTTCTAGCAGAGTCGCTTCGATCTTTCCTAGATGTGTCAAGAAAACTGTTGAGATCCAGAAATTTTGCTTCCTTGATAACGTGACATCACACTTCTTCTCCCTATTCGACGAAACTGAGAACTTAAACCCAATAGACGAATTCAAAACTAGTAAGGAATAAATTGAAGGAAGCGGTCCACCCCGACGGTTACCTTTAAATAAACTATATTTTTTAAAAAAGAGACTTTTTATTGGAGCTTAAATTACAGTGAAGTAAATTCTCTTGGCATGGACACAGTTCATTAAATCAGCATAAAATCTTTTGCTTCATTAACATTACGTCATTATTGGAACTCAGTATTTTCAATAGTTTAGTAGATAAATTGGAGAAAAAATTTCCATCAGTCGAGCGCTACTAAGCAAGCACGTCGTTTCTCTAAAAAAAACTTGTGTCTCCGTTCAGTCATAGACTCACAAAAGGAGTCAAAATGCGATAACGACTTTCGTGAAACACTCGCCTCATTTTTTTGTTCTTACCATATTTTTGACGTCATCTGTGATCTGCAAATGAGCGGAGAGACGGAAAAATGAAAGTTATTATTTGAATATTTGCAGAAAAGTAGATAAAAGTAGATAAAAGAAGGTTTCGCTGTTTGGTTGGCCTGCTATCAACTAAGATTGTGCAGCACAAGCCAGTGCTAAAATTACCCAAAATTAAGTGGAGACACTGTTATACCAGTATTTGGCTCTGATAAATACGTAGATAAAAAGAATCGTGTAAATATTTTTCATAAAAAAATGTTTACGCAATCCTCCATTTCTCTTTTTAGGTCCCAGTGATGGCTCTTTGAAAAGAGGAACCAATCTTACATCAATGTTAAACGCATTCATGGAGAGACAGAGTTTAGAGGCAGGTGACGTCACACCAGCCGCTGATGCGGAAAGACTTCAGTTTGATGCTGAAACTTTACGAGGTGAATAGAAAATTCCATTTTTTTTTACATGATATAATTCCAACAATAGAAAAGTTGCATTTGGTTAGATTGAAGACCTTACCCATTCGCAGATGCATTTTGTCATGTGTGGGGTCTGATATAATTATACTATGGGAAACCCTGGTTGGGAGTCGAGAGAATAAGAGTAAATGATGATCACGTCGGGTTTTTCAAGCACTTTTAAAAATCACCATAGTAATTACAATTTACTGCCGTAGCAATTGCAGAGGTGAACAAGAATGAGGGTAACGATGAGTACAGCAAGAAAAATTTCAACGGTGCTATTAGCTACTACACAGAGGGAATTAAAGTGAACTGCAAGGATAAAGAACTGAATGCCAAACTGTACAGCAACAGGGCAGCAGCGCACTTTAATTTGGGTAAGAAGTTGCCTTTAAAGTTAGTCATGGTGATGTTATCAGTAGCTCTTTAAAGACTTTTTAAATTAGTGGCTCTGCAACTGGAAACGGTTTTGTAAAGTGATCACTGGACGTGTAAGCCGTTACTACTTACGCTTTGTAGAATGCTCTGCTTTATAAAAGTTGTCAGACCACAAAAAACTGATGCTTCTAATATGTAATTGTAGTAGCTGTTCATCAGTAGAATCCCAGGCGAGAGTTTGTGCAATTCCACAACTGGTTTGAGCTCCCGGGGGGTACTCGCAGAAATATTGGGTAGGGGTGTGCGGCCCGCTTCCCAAAACCCTTACCCTATTTATGACCAAAATCTGCGATTTTCCCTACCCTATTTATGACCTAACCAAAAATTTGATACCCTATTTTGTGAAGGGCTTTTGTTGCTTGTATTTTCTAGCCTACAAAGCAGCCGGTGAAGAGGAAGGCAAAGCGCGGATGGAAGGAGGGGGACATGATAAGGAAGTGGCTTCTTCTAAAAAAGTGCATTCAAGACTACAGTGTAAAAATCGTTACCCTATTTATGACCAAAATGGCGGCAAAATAGCCAAAATCGATACCTATTTATGACCAAAACGGCTGAAAAACCCTACCCTTTGGGGCCGCACATACCTATATAGCCCATATTAGGGAGTACCCCCCCGGGTTTGAGCTTTATGAAATGTTTTAAAATTTTTGGAGCAACCAGACACAACTCGAGAACAGATACTAACAGGCCACTTTGTAAGACATATAGTTAAAACGTTACAGGTCAAAGTAAGTTAGCGAGTCAACTAAACCGTGGCAGTTTGACAGTGTAAATCATTTTTTCTCAGGGAATTACACCGAAGCACTGAATGATGCAAAAACGGCCACCGAAGTGCAACCATCCTTTGTAAAAGCTTTTGTGCGAGGTATGTCGATTACATAATGGGCCTATCACCAATATTTGTTTTCTAACCGGCATTACTGATTTGGTTTTCCCAAATATCGTTGCGAAAATGAACGTTGTACTTCAACGCAAGACAGGGTATGTTAAAACTCGTCTACTAAAACTGCTCTCATCAGCTTAAGGGCTTGTTAATGATATCCTTATTCATACCTTGATCAGAATGTGATCAAGTACGTTGAATCGCTCGGTTTTATTTACGACACTGTGCGTAAAGAGACTCTCTGATCCTTTTGCCCCAAGAGTGAGTTACGTTAATGAGGCCATTGTTGTTGTTGTTGTTTTTTTGTTCAGCGCACCACTCCTTATCTCCCGAAATTTTCTTATGGTGAGGTTTATTCCTTCCTCATTAGGAAAAAAAACCAATCAACATATTTAGAGTAGCATGTACAGGCCAAATGTGTTGAGTTTGAGTCGTATGTTTGTTTTTTTCTGTGCAGGAGCAAGTGCCTGTGTTCGGTTGAAGATGTTCGGTGAAGCCATCACATGGTGTGATAAAGGATTAGCAGTATCTTTTAATAATTTAGATATTATTTCTTCACAAACCTTCTTTATTCTTCTGCTAAATGTTGAAATATATCTAGTGTAGATCCACATGCACGTCTAAATACATCAATAGGATGTTTGTATGCAAACTCGTGACAATGAAACAAACACACTTATGGCTCCGTCAACTTCCAAGCCCAGTCAACCCCCTCCGGTAGATCTGTTCGTTTCCTAGAAATATGAAGGAAACCGTTTTAAGTCCCGCCGTCGATTTCGCGAGTCAAAAACACGGTTGAAATTCAATATGTTTCGATCGACTCGCGTTTCAAAACAACCGGGCTAGAAAAAAAGCCGATTGCCAAAATTTTAAGTATAATTCGTCGTTGACTGAAACATGTCATTCTTTAGCATTACAGTCTGCTTATTTGTAAAAAAGCCGAGGTAAAAATATGCCCCTTGCTTACCCTTGAGAGGTAGTTGAATGAAGGCAACGATTTTCATTGTTTATTGCTTGACTTGCCTTTTTTACATATAAATTAAGGGAAAAATATATAAATTACAAGTGAATAATACTTTTTTAAAAAATTCCCCTTCCCTAGGGGTGTATGTATGGTCTTTTAATGTTCAATACCCCTTAAATTATTTTCAATGCATACATCTTTGCCATGCTAAACACGATATATAAATTTAATAAATCCGTTTAGTGTGTTAACTTTGTGTTAATCAGCTTATCAACGACCGTCCCGCCTTTTCTAATGCAAATTCTTCTAAGCTACTAGCATCCACAGACTTTCTTTTAAACGTTTTCACGTTCCACACTTTGTACAACGGAATTTCCCATAAACTTAACGTTAAGACCCAAGATGATTTATCTTAAGTTCGCATTTTTTTAGTTCAGAAACTTGACAAGTTGTTAAAATTTTTAACAAGTTAACTTATTTATACAAGATCGACCAGAACAACCAGAAGTTGTTGGAATTACGGGGCAACTCTGTAACAGAACAGAAAAAACTGGAAGAAAATCACGGAGAAGAGGTAAGTATGATAAAAAAGGACTTAAAGGGAAGGTTTCACCGTTCAGCGCACGCTGCTGGGAGATACTGTATCGTCTATGCAAGCAATATGATCATGTCATAATGTTGTCAAAGAACGAATTTGCACACTCCCTCGGCGGTCACTTGATCGACTTGTGTGCAAATAGCTGTAAATTCATCAACCATGGAATACCACCCTTGGGTCAACGATAAATTCAACGTTGATAGTGTTGGCATATTTTAAAGATCCACTTATTTTTTCTGCGATTTTAGTATTCCTCCATCCTACTTCAGGTTACTCTGAAATACAAGTCTACTTTGAAATACACTCTGAGATAGCCGAGATACATGTGTGGGATTATTAGGGATCGACTATTTACCAAGTTAAGAGTTGAGTTGAGTTTGAGTTGAGTTTGAGTTAAGTTTGAGTTAAGTTTGAGTTAAGTTGTAGTTACCGTTTTTACTTAAAATGTCGTTAATACTATCCACACGACATAAAATGTGCGGATTATTTATATATAAAAATTATTATTTTTGAGGTGGTATTTTAGTTTTTAATACCCGATCGAGTTGGGTCAACCAAATCTGCGAGCCACGCGAGCCACGGTGCGAGTCATGCGAGCCATGCCTGTGAGCCATTTTTGAGTAATTCCGTTTTTCTTAAATTGGTCGGGGAGGTCGTCGATTATTCCACCAGCAAACATCCCTGGAGTTTTACCTGCGACTTGCCTAGCCGCCATCTTGTAAACGGAGTTACCTCGCTCCCAGGTTCCTCTCTCTCTGGCGCGACGCGAAGCAGTGTTCCTCGTGATGGCTCAATTTCGGCTCAATACGGAGATCCAACTAGCCGTCAATATAGTGCAGTATTGCCGTCTCAAAACAAAAATTCTTGCTATACGCGTTATCAGGTTTTTGTTTTGCAAAAAAGTTTCGAAAAACCCGACTTTTCACGCCATAAATTACTCATTGAAACATAAAAAATTCGAAAGAACATCTTTCTGAAGTTTTTCAAAGAAACATGCGTCGAACAAAATGAGTAAATAACGCAAGTTTGCCAAGTTTTTAGCGAAAACTTTTTTTCAAAATTATGATGGCGTGATTAGCCCGCGCATAGCTCAGCTCGATGTAAACAAACCGTTCAAACCAACAAAAAGAGATTTAGAACTTATCGTATCGTTCACTTTTGATAGAAAGGATCGCTTCATTGAATACAGTGTTGCTTTGTATTGCTCAGTATTGACGAGGAGATAATGTAAAGAAATGTAAGGACCTAAGAGCGACAGGACATAGAAATCCCGTTTGGTGTTGTTGTTTTCATTTGAGTTTCCTTTGTTGTTGGAATATACTCTCTTTAGTTCGAATGATATTTCAAAACATTAACTTAAAGGAAAAAATTAAAAATAAACGTTCGTTTTTCGCCCATCACGCCGTCGGAAAAGGAGTGCGTGACAAGCCCAAAAAACATTTGAAGGCAGGCGCCTGTCTCTTTCAGGTCGTGGGGAAAGGTTCCGCTCTTCAGTATGCATTTATGAAAAGAGTATGCACGAAGTGCGACGGCTGATACCGAAAATGCGCGAAATACTCACGAAGAGGCCCCGAATGTTTCTGCATCAATAATGGCATGTGCAAAACGCTGTCTGGTAAAATACACTGTTTTGCAACGCATTGTTGTTTTTGCATGAAGTGTTGACAAAAGTCCGTGGATTAAAATTAGCAAAATTACCATATACTTTTGCATTCGTGTTTCCTCGGAAAGCCTTCGGAGCGTAAAAACAAGCACTTTGTGTGTTCAAGAATTCAGACTGAACATTATGAAAGTGATCTACCGTATTTTGATTTTTCTGTAAATAATTTTAAAAAACTGTTGACCATGTCATTGTGAAAACATAAGCTTACCGCAATATTGCGTACGTTAGCATTTCTTATTCACGGGCTGGCTCTTATGCCAGTATTTATTTACAAGAATTTAACCGAGATATCGCAAGTTTTTTTTGTCTCCAGTGAGTTCAGGTTAATTTACATACGCAGCGACTAAAGCGATACTTTAACCTTTGATTCGAAACGTACGTTGTTACGCATATATATCTGCCTCTCAAACGGGGAGGTTGAATGGAATTGTCATTAATTCTATTATTCTTTAAGTTAATGACAGAAAAGAAATACGAAGAGAAAAAAACACAGCGTGCATAGCCTGTGTACAGACGCCCCTCCCTCCCCCCCTCAGATTTTTTCTGAGGGGGGAGGGGCGTCTGTACACAGGCTACAGCGTGCATGGATTGCTTTAGTTTTGTCGGACCGTAATAACTTTGCATACCGACAAAAACAATATCAAGCGACACCTTTAATACAAATGCAGTCACTTCATTCGCAATGCTATAAATAACTAAAAGACCCTAAAATGTCTCGCTACACAGGCTTAAAAATTCATCCTTTATCTGCTGGAAAGAAATACATAAATTCAGGACTTACGGGTTTTGTTAAATTTGAGACCGGAAGTTCGCGAACCCCGCGCCGATTTCTGTTTCAATTCGTGAATTGTAAGTAAACAACAGTTTAATTCAGTTCACTTCTACTTCATTTTTTTAGATCAAAGTTCCCAATATAGCCAGGTGTATACTGGTAGTAAACAACAGCATAGAAAACTTTAGTTCATTTCAATATCATCGAATGTGACCGGTCATCTTGACCGTCAAGGCCAACAAAATGAGGACAATTCAACGCTTCACGTTTGGGAATGTAAAATTATTAAACACTTTTTCATTCGTGAAAAAACGAACAGTCGGTCAATTTTGTGTAAAAACGATCTGGATCTTCCATTAACCACTTTTAAGTTAACAAAAATGAAAGCAACGGTAACTCAAACTTAACTCAGACTTAACTCAAACTCAACTCAAACTCAACTCAAACTCAACTCAAACTCAACTCAACTCGTAACTCGGTCATTAGTATCTCTCGGATTATTAACCGATAGAATAAATAATAGATAGGAAAAAAGTAATTTAATTAATGAGAAGGCGCTGAACCGTGAACCTGTCCCTTTAAATTACGTTGTTTCAGTGCGCTTATTATTGAACATGCTTTGTCGGATGTCTTAACTTGGAGAGCTCATCTCACTCTATAGTATCGATACAGTAGCTGGTTAGAGAAGCAGATGTTTCTCTCGGCTATTTAAACGTGGCTGTTCTGTTTTAAAACAATACTTAAGGCTTTTTGAGCTCAGTTATCCCATCTACTCCATACGCAACTATTTAGTAACACTTTTCTAGTAAATACATCTGGGTTATCATCCAAGTACCTTCCCTGATGCTCGTAATGTAGAGTAAAATACACAAACACTGGCGCACTTCCACTTGTCTTTATGAATTGAACCAATGTCTGTGTAATATAGGAATTTTCCTGTGCTGTATTTATACCTTTTTTGTGCTCTGACATTCAATACATACTGTTACACCTGTTCCATTAAAGCTAATATCTGCCTGTTTTGTTAATGTTAGCAAATCATTTTTGTAATGTTATATCACTACTTTATATGTCTGATTTGTTGCTTTATTACATCCACTTTGAAATCACTGGCTATCCGTGCAATCTGATTGGCTCTCAGCAGCGTGATTTATTCCTAAATCGCACCATTTTTTGCTCTAAATCGCATCTGTTCCAAATCGCGTCATTCATGTTCTAAATCGCATCATTTCTGTTTTAAATCGCACCATTTTTGTTCGATATCGCATCATTCTGTTGCGAATACAAAATGAGATGTAAAAGCCTTTTTGTTTCGGCTTTTTAAAAACCGGCTACTCGATCAATAAAATATTAGTGCTGACTAAATTCTGCGATTTCAAAATGGATGTAATAAAGTGGTAATTGAACTTCGTGTCGTGCAATTTTGGTATGAAATCATACTTGTGATTTCAAATCGAACTCGCGCTGCGCGCTCGTTCGATTTTGAAATCACACGTATGATTTCAGACCAAATTGCACTCCACTCAGTTCAATTACCATTATAAAAGAAAGCATTGCAAACCAAGTGAACTCTCCACATATAACTTCGTGATCTTTTAACTGGTGATACGTATAAATACCTTTTTTATCCCAGTTATGAGGTGAAATATTTCAATCATCAATGTTTAGAACAACAACATATTCTGTAGACCATTCACCAACATCATTCATAAGATACTGAAATACATTTTTAGCATGGTGATATTGTTTGACCTTTGACTTTTTTATTCTTTTATCTACATCAGTAATTTTTTGTTGTCGGCGTCAACACTTGAAATGGGTGAAATGACAGACTAGTTATTCGATTATCATTTATATCTTAACTGAGCCAACCATTGTGGCAGTTCCATCTGTTTTAACATAATTCGATCGCCTGAATCCCTCCTCATTGTCAACATATGGCTTATTTGTTCTATCAGAAGATTATGAAAGCGATTTTAAATTTCGGAGGTCGCTTTTTTTCATATTAACATGTTTTGTAACATATGGAAACTTTTTGGATACAAAGTTGATATTGACAATGTTGTCATCAAGTACTTGGTTGAAAAAAGTTATTTTACCAATATTTGAAATACTTTTACCATTCATATTAATATCTGAATTTTTTAAAATTAATGTCATTTACCATTATCTTTATTTACAGATAATGGACTCTATTTGTTGGAGTTTTGACAGTATAAATAAAGTTTTTTCCCATATCCAAATATTCTTCCATTGGAAAAACAGTTTCGTTTCTACTTACAAATACATCGGGAACATTCTCTTTATTTCGATTTGCTGTTAAATGTTTTTGCTACCCCCCATAACAACGTGGTTACCTTTAAGGTCAATATCTTGATTATTATCATCTTTTGTAATTGCATCACTGAAATCAGAACCTTCAGCAACATTTATTAGATTTTTATCATCAATGTCATAATTTCCATTTTTTTTGTTAAATTAAAACCTCCTCCTTTTACAACAATCTGTGTATTTTCACTCTTAAAGTTTAAAATTCCGTTGGAATAACTCATTTTTATTCATTGGCTTTATTTTTTTCATCAAAGTTTTTCGTAGCAAATTTGCGAGATATGTCATGTATAAAAAACAATAAGGTTCATATGCTGCTTTTTCATATAAATTACTTGAAAAATCATAAATAAAAAAATTAGAATAGTTTAATCTAATATCTTTTGGTGTTTTATAATAAACACGATTGAGAAAAATAAACGTCACTACGATTTTTACGTCTTCCCATTGTGAAATGTTCAATCAGTGGATTTTTCCTCAAATGTGAATTACTATCCTTTGATTATCACTTGGTAATTCAGAAACCGGTATTATTTAGCAATTATTCCTCCAGCCCGAATGGGCTCTGAGTCAATAGCCCATGAGGCCGAAGGCTGAATGGGCTATTCACTCAGAGGCCATGAGGGCGAGAGGAATAATTGTTTTAGTAAAATGCAACTAGTTGGTCAAAAATATCGAGACAAAACAACTTTAGCTAAAAAAAAGCGATTCAGCCGCCATTATTAGGTTTTCAAAGCCGGCGCTCTTCGCTACTAGTGGCCTATAACATATAGCCTAGTAGTAGCTCAACCAATCAGAACGTAGCATTGATAATAAACCACTAGTTGGATTTTACTAATTTATTATTACTTACCTCAATAATATCATAGCCAGCTTCTCTATCTTGGTGCAACCATTTCCAATAAGCTCTCCTATTTTGACTCCTCAAAAAAAATTTAGTTTGAAATTTTAGAAATTATTATGTACACATGATCAGCTGCATTGTATGTTATTTTTTTGTATAGCAAACTTGTGCGAAGGCGAAGTTCACAGCAGGCGACCTTAGCACTTGTGGCAAAATTGACAACTCTGTACACAGGTCGGAAGAAAGAAAGGCGTATGGCAATCTTCACAACGCCCATGACACTCTGGACGATTTTAAAAAAAACACTCTTGACAACTTTGAACATTATCTAAAAATTTGCAAAAAACGTGGAGACAAATCGGGAGAAGGAAAGGCGTATGCCTCTCTTGGAAACGCCTATCAGAATATGGGAGATTTTAAAACGGCAATAGACTACCACGAACGTAATTTAAAAATTGCAAAAGAATTGGGTGACAGATCGGGTGAAGGAAAGGCGTATGGCAATCTTGGCATTAACCTTGGCAGCCTGGGAGATCTTAAAACAGCCATAGATTACCATGAACGTTATCTAAAAATTTCGAAAGAACTGGGCGACAGATCAGGAGAAGGAAAGGCATATGGCTTTCTTGGAAAATCTCATCAACGACTAAGAGATTTTAAAACAGCCAAAGACTACTATGAACGCAAACTAAAAACAGCGAAAGAATTGGATTGCAGATTGCAGGAAGGATTTGCTTATTGTTATCTTGGTGACACTAATTGCTATTTAGGAGACCTTAAGACAGCCATAGACTTCAATGAACGTGGTCTCAAAATTATGAAAGAATTGGGTCACAGATTGGGAGAACGAATAGCGTACGCCAATCTTAGTCACGCGAATCGAAGCCTGGGGAACTTTAAAACAGCCCATTATTACAATGAATGTCATCTGAAAATTGCGAAAGACATGGGCGACAGAGCGGAAGAGGGAAAGGCGTATGGTAATCTTGGCATTACCCATCACAATCTGGGAAATTTTAAAACAGCCATAGAGTACCATGAACGTGCTCTAAGAATTGCGAAAGAATTGGGTGACAGATCGGGAGAAGGATTTGAGTATTGCAGACTTGGCATTGTCCATCAATGTATGGGAAACTTTAAAATATCCATAGACTACCTTGAACGTGGTCTAAGAGTTGCGAAAGAACTGGGAAACAGATTTGTAGAAGGAGAAGCGTATGGCAATCTTGGCCTTACCCATCACAGTCTGGGAAATTTTAAAACAGCCGTAGAGTACCATGAACGTGCTCTAGGAATTGCGAAAGAATTGGGTGACAGATCGGGAGAAAGAGATGAGTATTGCAGACTTGGCATTGTCCATCACAGTATGGGAAACTTTAAAATATCCATAGAATACACTGAGCGTGGTCTAAAAGTTGCGAAAGAATTGGGAAACAGATCAGTTGAAGGAAAAGCGCATGGCAATCTTGGCAATGCCCATCGCAGTCTGGGAAATTTTGAAAAAGCAAGAGATTACCATAAACTTGATCTAAAAATTGCGAAAAAATTAAAAGACAGATCGGGACAGGGAATGGCGTATGGGAATCTTGGCGGTGTCCATGAGAAGCTGAGAGACTTTGAAAGAGCCATAGAATGCCATGAATGTCACCTTAAAATTGCAAAGGAACTGGGTGACAGATCGGGAGAAGGAAAAGCGTATGGCAGTCTTGGCACTGCCTATCACGGACTGGGAGATTTTGAAAAAGCCATTGATTACCTTGAACGTGATCTAAAAATTGCGATAGAATTGGGGGACAGGTCAGAAGAGGGACTGGCCTATGGTAATCTTGGCTGCATCAATAACAGTCGGGGAGATTTTGAAACAGCCATTAGCTACTTTGAACGTCATCTAGAAATTACGAAAGACCTGGATGACAGATCGGGAGAAGCAGTAGCATGCTCGAATCTTGGTCGAGGTTTTGAATGTCTTGGCCAAGTTTCAGTGGCTATTGGATATTTCCAGCGCAGTATTACTTTGTTAAATAATATCAGAGATCGTCTTCATTTCAACGACGACTGGAAAGTAAGCCTGCGCGATCAGTACCAGACAACATACGCTGCACTTTGGCGCTTGTTGTTAGGAGAGGGCAAAATTACAGAAGCTTTGATTTCTGCCGAGCATGGACGGGCACAGGGTCTTAAGGACCTTATGGCATTAAATTATGGATTGGAAGTGAATGACGCTGAGTCAGATGAAGGAGACATGAGAACCTTTAATGAACTGTCCAGTCATTTTCCCACGAATACGATATTTATGGCACTTGGAGAGAACGAATTAATTTTCTGGGTTTGTCAGGAAGGAACGGCCCTTGAATTAAGAATAAACCCAATAGATTCAAAGGGGAAAATTAGCTCTTTCTTTGAGTCTCTTGTGGAGCTTGTCTGTCAGGAAATTGGTGCAAGAGAAAATGTGGAGTGTGAAGATCGCTCACTTGAATTGCTGAATGGTAAAAGACATGAAAGACCGGCAGTTAAAAGATCAACTAGTGATGGCAGTCAATTCCAGAACTTAAACAATTCTTTGAATACTTTGTCCGACGTAATCATTGATCCTATTCAAGATCTCTTTTGGGGAAGTGAAATCCTATTCGTCCCCGAAGGCCCACTCTGCTTGGCTCCTTTTGCCGCATTGAAGAGTCCAAACTCCAAATACCTCTGTGAATCATTCAGAATTCGCATAGCTCCATCTCTTACCAGCTTGAAAATAATTGCCAATTGCCCGGTAGATTACCACGTCATGTCTGGCGCGCTTCTTGTGGGTGATCCGTGGGTGCAAGATGTGACAAAACTACCAAGATTGCCACATGCCAGAGAGGAGGTAGAGATGATTGGTAGAATTCTTGACTGTACACCTCTTATTGGAAGACAAGCCACAAAGGATGAAGTATTAAGACGACTCGGTTCGGTTGCTTTGGTTCACATTGCTGCACATGGCAGCATGAAAGCAGGCGAAATTGCCTTGGCACCAAATAGTGAGATGGATTTCCTTTTGACAATGAGAGATGTACTGGGTGTTCAAATGCGAGCAAGACTGGTTGTACTCAGTTGCTGTCATAGTGCTCAAGGAGAGATCAAAGCAGAAGGTGTAGTAGGCATAGCAAGGGCATTTTTGGGAGCCGGTGCTCGTTCTGTTCTCGTGTCTTTGTGGGCAGTTGATGATAAAGCCACTCTTGAGTTCATGAAAAATTTCTATCAGCATCTTGTAAAAGGAAAAAGTGCTGGTGAAGCCTTAAATCAAGCAATGAGCTGCATGAGAGAATCTGAGGAGTTTGGCGCAGTCAAGTACTGGGCACCGTTTGTGCTCATTGGTGATGACGTTACATTAGAATTCGCTTTATGTGAATAAATTTCCTTTAATTCTAGGTAAGTCTATATTTCCGGAGATGGTTTTGTACAGTATTTATTTTAAATTTATAATTACACACAGTAGTCGGTGCTTTCTTTGCATTCATTTCCGTATTTAGATAGAAAGGAAAGTGCGTATAGAAGTGTTACCATGCATTCCGTGCCTCCTGCTTTTCACTTGATGGGAATTTAGCAAGCATTACTCTAAAAACATATTGGCGACTAAAAAAAAAATCTTTGCCTTTGAAAACCATCAGTTAATATGGAGGTTGGGATTGACACATAATTGAAAATCATAAATTAAATTTATAAATCGTTAGACATTAAAAACCAAACCAGCTCAAGCGTAACCCATTAGATTCTCTTAGTGAGTTGATTGCTTTGATCGTTGCTGCAACTTTTGTCAGATCTCTATTCTAGCATGCATAAAAAGCAATCAATTTTACACTAAAATGTTTCTGAATTGTATCAGATTGGAAAAACTTTCAGACTTTCGGTTGAATAAAATCCCTGTGAATTCATATTGAAAGTCTCAGCTGACCAAAACTGTAAATACTTTGCGTTTATTCTTATCCTCAGAGCAACTCGGCTTAATTAGTGACGCTACTGCTCTAGGGACGGAAATGCTTTAGGTGTGAGTGACTGCAGTGCTCATTAAGTGTGCAGCAACAATTAAAAAATTAAAAGAAATAGAATCTATGGCGGTAAGCTTACATCAAATGACGTGTAACAGTGAATTTGTTTACTTTATTAACAAAGGCTCATTAATCTCAGATAGGTTCTGGGTTTTTTGTTGAGCTTCTTTTCTTTTTGATTTTAATGGTTTTACAAATACAATGCTGAAGTACTTTAGCGTTTCAATAAACTATATTTTGGTAGGCCATCTTTTGGCTTTTTAGTGGACTTAACTTTGATATCGCCTTTTTATAAATCGCCTTTTGTATTTTGTTGATATAACAGGTGTCGGATCAGATAAATTAGTGTTATGATCTGAGGCCATGGAATAAGTTATTTAGGATATCTTTCGTGAATGAGACTTTTTACCCTGGATGAGATGTCCTGTAATTGTTTATTTGGGTAGACTTGCTGGTTCACCTGTGCAGACTCTGCTAGTGTAAGATAAGGGCCACGCAAATTCACCATTATACTAGGATACGAGGATTGTTAGATATAGGTTATTGATTTCGAGGTGTTCCCCGGAGAGTAAACTTGTTGTTACGTTTTTCTCTTTACCTGTTAGGTGCCTAGGAAAGAATCTGCATACAGTAGCTTAGGAGAACCAAGTACCACTTTAGCTGGTCACTCAATGGGGGATATCGACTTCATAAATTATTCACATACGGAGTTTTTATGGTTGATTAGAAAAACTATTTATCTTTGATGTATTTTAGGCTTAGGCCTAAGCCAAACGTCGAACTTTCCACGAGACTAGCCAAACTCTAATTCGGGTCAGACATCGATCTTAGGACGCGTCAAACCAATTTCTATCAACATCTTGTGAAAGGAAAAAGTGCAAGTGAAGCCTTAAACCAAGCAATCAGCCGCATGAGACAATATGAGGAGTTCGGTGTAGTCAAATACTGTGCACCGTTTGTGCTCACGGTTGGTGATAACGTCACGTTAGCATTTGCTGGGTACGAGCAGAATGTGTCAAGGTAACTCTGCTTTTGAAAATGCCTGAAGACCGTTCGCGAACTTTTGAGGTCTTGACGGCTGAGGATTTTGCTACTCCTAATGCGAAGATAGTTTTGTACTATCAATGATTTGCAAACCTTGCACTGGCACCAACCTTAATGTATTACGCTATCAAAATAACCATCAGGAAATATTTTCTATCGTTTCTCTAATTTAATACAAAGTATGCTTCACTCTGTATCCTTGAAGCCTGGCCCCGCTTGTTCAAAAGTTGGATAGCGTTATTCAAGCAACTTATAAACCACTGTGCAGCGAATAAGTATTAGGAAAACCAATTGCGCCATGAACTAGATAGAAATTTATCTAGTTGATAACACTATCCACCTTTTGAACAACTTGGGGCCTGGTCCCGGCTCACTAGCGAGGCAAGCATAAGCATTAGCCTGAGCATAAGGAGCTTATGTGCTTGTAAGGACGGCCTTGACAAAAATGGTTCGTTTAGTGCGCCCTATACTACTGATGAACGTGTTCAACTTCTTGTCAGGCTTTCCGATGGGTGTGGAAGGTTTTCGTTCAACTCTTTCTCCTTTCCTCCTCTGAGTCGTTAAGGCTTGCTCGTAGACAACACACCGTACGTGCTCAAAGAGATTTCGACATGTACAAATACTTTTCTTGGTTTATTTTACATCAATTTTTGTGTACAGGTGTATTTGAGTTTCTTTTATTTACAACTTATTTATGTATTTTGCAATTAGTTCTATCAAAAACGCTATTCGTGTAGGAAAGCGCTGTTTTATTGCCAGTCAGTTTCAATGTAACACAAGGCTTATAACAAACGCCGTTTTCTGTTTTAGGAATTTAAGTGCGAAGTCTCTCCTTTTAAAAATCAGAACCTTTAGAGTAAAAAGAAAGCTACCTTTTAAGTCCACCGCTGATTTGCTTTTTCTTCTTTAGTGAAAAATTGACCCCTGATGTAATGCCATAGAAGAAAAGATGTTTTAGACGCGTACGTTCGCCCTTTTTTTCAAAACACGTTTCCACTTTAAACCGTTTGATAAGTCTTCCTTGCTGCGAACAGTGTGCGAGGGACAAATGAACCGGGTTTAAGTTTTCTACTGTAGCAGATATAGGTTTTACAGGCTAAAAAATGTATAGAGTACATTTTTTCCTTGATCAAATGATGTTTAAGACTACTACGTGTGGTTTAAGTGTACCAACTGCATCTATTGTTGAGTCCGTATCTCTATAAACCACCGTATACGTTTAAGCAAGTTAGAAAACCAAATGCAAACGAATAAGAAAACTAATCATTGCTTTGCAAGTACTCGAGGCGCAGGACTTGAGCACAAGTGACCAGAGCTTTACCGTTTAGCCACAAACAGAAAGTCGGTCAATCAGGTGAAAAATCGTCAAGGTTTCATCATGTCATATTCCCTCGTTTTGAAGACAATAGAGAGATTTAGAATCACGTTTGCGTCAAACGGCGAACGTCAAATTTGTCAATATAGGAAATGAGCAGATGAAAACTGTTCAAATAATTCTTGTTGATGAAACCTGTGTGACAAAACTACTACTTTTGTTACATGTTTTATGTTTTGTACAATTGTGCCTTCTGTCTTGGCAGTCCCACAGACTGTGCGTCGCTTCAGACTTCCACTAACTGCGTAGACTGTACTTTTGAAAATAATTGCTTTCAGTTATTATACTGAGATCACCGGCTTGTCGGTTTGGCATATCGCTGTGAAAGGGCGTTGGGCCATAGAGCATTTACATTCGCCATTTTCGCATTTCTATAATGCACCTTGCTTGCTGCCCCTCCCCTCCCCCCAAAAAATTGCATAGGAAATGTCATTAGTTTCTTCTTATACGACTGTGATGCTCAGGATGAATTAAAACAAAGGTTTGGCCAAATTTGTGGGACCAACAAGATGTGTTATGGGAAATGCGCAAATGACGAAGGAAACTTGAATGTCGGTCTTGCATTAGCTTACCGTTGCATGAGTTTACCATAGCGTTGTTGTTGTAGTTCGTGACGACGGTACGACACGAAGTACGCATAAGAAACCAAAAGAAGATACATTTGGGCAAAACCATGAGGACTGGATGGTGTACAGATCCATTGTGAGTCTGGAATTTGTATGATTCGTAGTAGCACTTATTAAAGGACGTGTTATTCTGTAGTAAAAGAGCGAAGGCGTTGTTGATTGGTGCAAGATTGATACGGTGGCGATGACGGTCATAGCGAGAACAGGTTTGAAGCCGCAAGCAACGACGAAGATGTAGCTATCACGGATAACCTCTCTTAGATGGAATTTCCTGTCAGTCTGCACGACTCTGACGACTTCGACTTGAGACTTCCTAATGCAATGTCACGAGCTCAAGACGAAGGATTTCTCTTTCTCTTTTCAATTTCAAAAGTAATGTCTTTATTCATAATGAAGTGAATTGTTTCAAAATCATTATAAAAATGTCTTCACTGACAAAAATATTCATCCGCTTTCCTTATTTAAGCTAGCCTGCGAGCAAGCTCTCCGGGGCGCTTTGGTGGTGGGGCGTCTAACAAGTACAAACCCTGGAAATTCACCTTCATATGGCAAATTGAGAGACCTGAACTAATTAGTTTGAAAGCGCGTGCTTTTTCACGTTTTCACTGAAGTCGCCATCATGGTTTTTCTTAGTGAACTCACTTAGTCGCTTGCGATATGCGGCTTTATTACACGTATCACGAGAATTTTATTTCATCACATGTGAGAAAAGGTTATATAGCCAATCAGAATGGCGTACAGCTGTTTTCACATGTGGACGTATACCCAATCGACGACAGCGTAAATGCCTTTGAGCCAATCAGAGTCGTTCATCGAACTTGCAATCAAATGGTTTTCCAGATTTGGCATCTTTTTAGCGAGGCCTCCAATTTTTTTTTCAGAAAGAAAGAAAGAAAGAAGGAAAACAATAACAGGTTGTGTCGGTTGGTTGCTCGTGTTTATTTAGCATAGGTAGTCTAGATATGATTCGAGTTATCAACGTGTGTTATCCGGCCTTCAGCTCACTTTTCGTCTCCTCTGTAATCCCGACAACCACGTTTTAAACGTTTCCTCTCTTTGTATTTCCTCCTCACTCTTATGCTGTTGTAACTCTTGTTTTTTCTCCTCTTTCAATCTTTTCCCACTTCCTCTGCTCCTCCTTTAGGAGTCCGCTGCCTCTTTTTGCTCTCAACCGGCTGCTCAGATACAACATCGATGATTTCATCTTTTTCTTTGACCTAAGAGCGCAAAATGGATTATCGGTTCTAAGAGCCTCCGGTAAAATTGCAAGAGGCCTAAAAATGTGCTTTCCGCCTCTAACAGCAACATTATCAAAACTCTTGTCTGAATACTTAAAATAGAAAATCATTGAAGGATTTTTCGCTCTCTCAATGGACTCTCAATGTAAAATGGTGTTTTTCTCTCTTCATGTTGTAGTCATAGCCGAGTGCAGAGCGAAGCAGAGCTCCTCATATATCAGTGAGTGAGTCAATATTCAGTCACCATGAAAGAAATCATTTGGATGTGTGAGACAGAGTCTTCCAAATTGTTTAGCCGTGATCACTGTTAGATTTAAGTTAAATGGTTTAAACCTTGTTTCAAATTGTACAGATTTGTGCAAGGGCGACAGTGCGTAAACATGCTTTGTTCTCTGCAAAAAAGAATATTTATGATCATTAAAGATATTGAGCTGCTTGTTTCAGGAGTGAACGTTTGATAGTTGAATCTACTTAGATCAGATAAAAGCAAGCTCTGAAATTTTGTGAAGTTTTCAAATGGTCAGTCGGTTTCAATAGGACAAATTGGGATACTGTATTACTTGCGTTTCCTGGGCAAACAACTCGAAAGATCTTGCTGATCGGAGGGCTGAGGTAAGATCCGTACAATCATGCTTTTCTATTATGTGACGTGTGTCAGTATCTATTGGAAAAGCTGAAAGCGAAACAGTTTTGGGAAGAAGGTAACTGTCAGGGGATTTCATTAGGATAGTCGTGAAAAGAACCGTTTAGGAAGTTATTAGCTTTCGAATATTAAATGTATCTGAACTGAAACAGTTCTCCTTGATGAATGACATTCATTCGGAAACGGTGACGACGAAGTTGTCCAAGATTTCTTTGCTGTTATTAAAATATGTAAAGAAGAAAAGTCATCATTCAAACATGTGTATGTGATTTTTTCCTTCTTTTATTATCTTACTGGACGAGTCTAACTCTGTAACGACTGCAACGGTTGCTCGATCGAATAAGAAGGAAAGCGGATGGATATTTTTGTTTTGGTTTCACATCAGTGAACACAAAATGATTTGAAAAAAACAGTCCCTTCATTATGGAAGAATATGGTGGGTGACTTCTTCATTCAGCGATTTTAGTTGTAGGCCGAATGTACTGCGAGACAATTAAGGATACAAGGTGACCACAAAATTGAGACCAGATCTCACTTGTTACAGCGAGACCATTGTTATTTACGCTAGGGGTGAATGTACTGCGATACAAGACCGAAACTTGTCAAAACAGCGAGACAAACGCACCAAACGACTACTACGAGGCAGACTCGTCAAACTACTTCTTCGACTGAGGCGAACTCGAAGGACCTCGAAGGGACAGCAACATAAACTCAAAATAATACTTACAGAAAGATAAACAACTATTTGCTGAATTCTAGGGCAACACAAATAACTAAATGCTTGAAAATATGGGACACGAAAGACTTGAAAACATGCCTCCTTCTGATAACAGAGGGATTTAGATTCACGTGTACGGCAAACAGAAAACGTGAATTTGTTCCACGTGACCAAGTTTTCCTTTAACTTGTGCTTTAATCGCTTTAATGTTCATTACTCCTACTCCCAAATTAGTTGGTTTACGTTAATTTTGTCTGTAAAAGTTGCTTTGGATTGTTTTTAGCCGCAAGGCTACTCAAAGAAATTCTCAACTTGAATCTGACGTTTGCCGTTTGCCGTAAATTAAATCTCTCTTCTAACAGCTGTACATGAAAGACAACACTGAAGCAAACCATTCAAAATAGCATTTTATCAAAATATGCATATTCAGTTAGATAGTCAGGCCTAAAGTGCAACCTCGTCCCCAGGGCTTTTCCCTTAAAAAATGGGTGGGGCGGGAAAAGGCCCTGGCATCGGCTGGTCACGTGCACAGCCTAAATATTCCTGAGAAGCTAATTTATATGCAACCCGCTGGTTTTGTGCTGACAGAAGTCGAACGGAGCAATGATATATATCGCGACCTGTATGTCAATATTTTCGCGTCTGTGCGATTCAAAAGCTTAAGATCCATTTAATTGCGTATTATTCAAATGCTACAAGTTTATGAAAGGGCGAACCGGCTCTACGTTGTCACGTACAAAATATGTCAAATGCTTCAGAGTTGAGACAAGCTGTTATATCGAGTGGTACCTCGACTGAAATTCATCGTGACTGTGGAATTACTGTACGATCAAGCAGAAAGTGATTTTTTCCAATGTCAAACAAAAATGCGGGTCTTTGGCTCTACGATCTGCAGTGAATTTAAACAAATTCAACTTCATTGAAATAGAATTGTTCATCAAAATGCTTTATGGAGTCTGGCCTTTTCTACAACCCGACCATGAAACAAACAAAGCTAAACAAATCTCCGCGCCGGATGCAAGTCAGCCCTCCAGCCAGGAACGATGACAGTTCGCCGATCTGAAACGTTTTAAGATCTCTTATATCTTTTCTCTTCCGAGGATAAGTACAAAGGATTTTCCTTATATCAAAGGGAAGATTGACCGATCGATTGGAATCAACTACAGCTCTGACAATTTTAAATGGACCCAAGTCTTTCTTTGTTACCAGTCGTTTGATACCCTGGGTGCCAGAAACTTTTCATGCGCGGTTTCCGGTTTCGGTCAAGTCTCGCAGAGGTCAATGAATTTTTTAAAAATACAGGTCATACTAGTTAAGTCTAAACCAACGCGTGTCGCTATGATATGGCTGACAGTCAAGGTGAATAGAACTACTAGGTTGTGTACGGCGGTCCACTTCGCAAGAAATAAATAAAACATCAAAAGAGTCGCGAAAACGGACTTTTCCATGCTAGTACAAACTTTATGCATGTACGATAGCTTGTTTGTCATTTATATCGCTCTATAGAGGAAGTTTTACAAATGTTACCCCTCACTGTCTCCTTCATAGAAATCGGAGGAAAGCAAAAAATTACCATAGCCAGTATCTGTGACAAAAAAAGAAAACTTTTCGTTACTAGTCAAGAGATATAAAAGGCCGCCCAAGATCCCGCACTGTGAGGTCTCGCATAATTTTAGCTTTTCACATAGCGCTAATTTATTACCCAGGATTTTAGGGTGTACGAGGAGACACGTGACCAGCCGATGCCAGGGCCTTTTCCCGCCCCACCCATTTTTTTAAGGGAAAAGCCCTGGGGACGAGGTTGGCCTAAAGTGACCTGAGTAATGCAACCTGCGATAAAACAACCGAAAAGAAAGGAAGACAACCTATATTGGTCTTTATTATATACATACTGAGAAATACTCACCAAAAAGCTATGTCGTAAATTTTCGTACGCAAATTAGTTCTAGCCAATCAGAGGAGCGAACAATGGTTTTCACACGTGAAAAAAATGATACGTCCAATCAGAAGCCACAGAGGTGTGTAAGTTTCGCGCCAAAATTCCCGCCTTTTATTGCAGCTTGCAGCGCCGCTTCGCACACATTCAACGAAAAAAGTTTTACTCAAAGAGTTTTTCTCGCTAAAAAAGGGAAAACATCTCGGAAATGGAGTGGAATAGTTTCGTTTGTTTCACTGTCGATAAAGAAAACGGTAGAGAGCCGGCGAAACAACAGCAGAAAGGGAAAAACAGAACGAGACGTAAGCTTTTGTTGTGCTTTTTGTCGGAGCTACTTTGCCTTTCATTTAAGGTTAAGCTTATATTGAAACCGGCCATTTTACCTAAATTCACTTATTTTTAATTGTTCATTGAGAATAAACGGTTAAGATTACTTATAGTTCTTGGATTACCTCATATCCTTACCGTCATTTATGTTTTTAACAAACGTTTTTACTAAAAAGTTGATACTTCGTTTTCGTTGTCATTTTGCGGTAAGTGTGTAGCGGCAAATTTTAGCATTTTTGAAAGATTTAGAATAAAAAGGCCACCAAAATGATGAATGTCTCAGTATGTATATAATAAACACAATACCACATGGAAAGTGCTTTGTACGGTATTTACGCATATTTGTTTTTGTATCAGAAATCGAACGAGTGAGCGTAGCGAACGAGTAAGATTTCTGATACGTCAACAACTCGTGCGTAAATACCGTACGCCGCCAGCACGCGTTCCATGAAGTATTCTCTATATTATACAGTTATAATAGACAAATTTCGATATATCCTGAAATTCATGCTTGGCTGATGGGCCGTCAGGGAAATAAAACAAAAGAAATGTATTATTTATTGACGAACCTCAGGATTAACTATTTTGTGTTATTTAATTCCCTAATGTATAACTGCGCGGATAGAGAGAATCCGGAGTGCATGAGAACGTGGGCCTGGACTAAATCCTCCATTCTCTTGTCAGTCTCAAGTAACAGTTGTTAGAAAATATGAGGTTTATCTTACACCAGTCTACACCAGTCTACGAATACAGCGGATCGTGTTAATAACAAACACATGGATGAGGACCTAATCATCCATTTCTATCATTTCTATCATTTTTATCAGGCTCCAGTAACAGTTGTTAGAAAAAAGATCCAATCTCACACCAGTCTACAGCAGTCATGAAGAAAAGTCCAGAGGCAGCTGATGTCACATTACCAGTTGATGAAACTCTCCAGTTTGATGATGACAATTTAAAAGGTGAGGAAAAGCCATAAATCAAGGACGAAAAATTGCATTCAGCAATACGATGAAGCCCTTATCAATTCTACAAAAACATTTTGTCGGGGTTTAAACCACCGTGTTTAATTTTTACACGGGCAACCCCTGCTGACAGTAGACCAGACGAGAGCCAATATTACGCAAAGTTTATTTCTAAATTTAAAGAAATTAAAAATTTCGCAGACGTAATTATATATTACTTCATTGCAGCAATTGCAGACGTTTACAAGAATGAAGGTAACGATGAGTACAACAAGAAGAATTTCAGCTGCGCCGTTAACTACTACACAGAGGGCATTAAAGTGAACTGCAAGGATAAAGAACTGAACGCCAAACTGTACAGCAACAGGGCGGCAGCACTTTTTAATTTGGGTAAGAAGTTGCTATTGGTTGCCTTAAACATCTTTCTGAGACTTTTTATGTGGTGGTTTTGTACTCGGCGATGATTTAATGCTAGGTAAGTCAGCTATAGGAGACATCACATGGTTATGTTTGTAAACACTGTTTTTGATATACTAATGTGTAACGAGTGAAACTCCTGGTTGGCACATAAATATCAATAGGTAATATAGAACGTTTTCACTCACGTGGCCAACATCTATCACCTATGCAAATTTATTGGAACAAAAGAAAGCGTTTTTTAATACATAAGAAAAGAGTCCAGCTACCACAGGATTTGTTTGGGACACCAACATGGCCGCTGTTTCATTGTTTTGGAACGCAAATATGGCCGCCGTGACGACATGTGAAAACGCTCTTTCAATTATGTATACATACGCACTTGGATAGGGCAAAAGTCGGAAAAAAATGTGTTCTGCAGAGTAACGTTACATGATCTGAAATGGGAAAACATGATACAAACTAAAAAGATGTGTTACTTCGTCATCTTCATGCTATGCTCTGTGTTTCGGGTGTGTAACGTTTTTGAATGCATTATCTCTTTCGCAGGGAGTTACACCGAAGCACTGAATGATGCAAAAATGGCCGTGGAAATGCAACCATCTTTTCTAAAAGCTTTTGTGCGGGGTAGGTTAACTTTGCATATACCCTTTGACAACATTTTTTTTCCCGAAGAAAATCAGCCGGTGCGTGAATATTTGAAAACTTTCCTTGCGTTAACTGGCAGTCTGTCGTTTAATATAACACATATAGATCAATTTATCGTTGCTTTCTTAGCCCAAATGCATTGTAGTTGAGCAGTTGTTTTTTTCTTTTTCAGGTGCAAGTGCTTGCGTTCAGTTGGATAAATTTAACGAAGCCATTACCTGGTGTGATAAGGGATTAGCAGTATCCTTTTTTAGAGTTTAGGATCGAATTGTTCAAAGGGCGATCATGATCAGCCCGTTAGTTAATATCACTACTCAAATGCTCTGTTCACATTTAACCCTGGATTAACGCTAATAAGAATTCGACTTTTAAATAATGCTGTTTCAGGTAACGGTCTTTTTCCCGTACCCGATATAACTTGGTGCTGCTTTTTCTAGTTCATGCAGTATGTTTCCAATCAAATAGACAAAACTGCCGGTATATCCACTCTTCACAATTCTACAAAATAGCAATCTTAATTGAATATTAGTCTTTGCTGTGCAGTAAGTTCTCTCAATGCACTAAACGTAGCCTTGTAATATTCTTGTTTATATCAAATAATTAACATTTTAACTACTACAAGACTGACCCAAAGAACCGAAAGTTGTTGGAATTACGGAAAAGGGCTGCGAGAGGACAAAATAGGCTGAAAGACAATCTTGGAGAAAAGGTAAGGGTGAAAAAATGCTTTAATTACGTACCAGTGGAGGCTCAGTGCTATTGAATGTGCCAAATTGAAGGAGTTCGTAGTTCGCCATACAAGAGACTACAAAGCAGACACCTATAGTTGCTCTCTTAGCCTAGATGTACAAAGAATTAACGTAAAATCAAACTCCGTCGTTCACCCTCACATAATTAAAGAACCCTTACAAATTCTAAGTCTGTTATTTTCAATCAACTTTGGGATTTGTAAATAAGCAGCCCATGTCAATACGGTAGGCATACATATATAACGCTCGGGTGCGTATATCATTCTTAGTTTAAATGCAATTCAAGAGAAATTTTTTAAAAAAATTTGAAATGAGCATATTTGCTCAAGAAATGAAATTTGGATTTCCCAGTTTCCAACTCCATTGTGCTGAGAGCAAAAAAATGGTGGGGCACTGATCTCCACATTTTGACACCTTCTGTCATCTATAACTGAACAAACCCGGGAAACAGGCAAAAAGGAATCTGTTTGTTGGTCATGGAAAGACCAGCCTGTAAGCAGAGCCTCCTTTGTCTTCTACCTGGTCGAGGAGAGGAAAAGGAGGATTTGCCGGAATAGCGTCGATTCTTTGAAGTCGCCGCAGCCCAACTTTTTGACTAGCCAACCTTGTTTTCTCTCGTCAAACTGGCTTGTTTGAATGTGATCATCCGTTCATTGATAAATCGATGGTCGTAACTGATCCCACAATACCAAGCGCACGGCTATTAGTCCTGGGCTGGAAAATGTATCTTAGCAACATTCAGGGCACGCTCAACAAAGATCATACTCGATGCATGAAGAGCCTTTCTCATCCTCGGAGACCCAGAGGTTAATTTCTAACATAAATTTTCCTCGGATTTTACTTGTTTTTTGGTTGCTAATACTGGTTAAATACCGTGCGAGCAGATGTTTCTCCTTTCATGAAGTCGTTCGGGTCGCTTGTAGTTGTTTCATTTTATACGCCCCGGGTTTAAAGCAGTGCAACAATATCTCAAATGCAATGTGTTTTCTTTCATCAAAAACTCTAATTCCACAGTTCACAGTTACCAATATTCCGTTCATGTTACCACTGAAATAATTGGTCGTTTCAGGGCTACCAACCAAGCCATTCAAATCCTCTTGTGATCGAACTCAAAGAATAGGCTCTGTGGCTGGAATCAACAAATAATATGCTACAAGTCGGTGATTAAACTCAGGATGATCACATGAGGACATCTAGCTAACATGACCTAAAGTGAGATATTTACTGAATTTTGCTAAATGTCTTTAAGATCTGTTGTTGATTTTTTCTCTCTTTCAGCAATTTAGAAAATTGTTGCCCCTGCATCCATTAAGACACCTTTTAGTCGAAAAAGGGTAGAAATAGGCAGAAATTTGAAACTGAACAAAACTAAAAAGCTACATAAGACGTGTTCATACATTTTACGCGTTTTTTTCACAGTATCCTCGCACGAAGGATGACAATTTTGGCATCACCCTTCATGGCGGACTGACAAGTTTGAAAACAACCATAGAGTACCATGAAAGTGACCTGAAAATTGCTCAGGAAATGAATCATAGATGGAAGGAAGGAGCTACGTGTTCCAATCTTGGCACCACCCACCACAGTCTAGGAGATTTCAAGAAGGCCATACACTACCATCAACGGCACCTAAAGATTGCGAAAGAACTGGGCGACAGATGGGGAGAGCAGGTGGCATATTGCAATCTTGGCCACGCCCATCACTGTTTAGGAGATTTTAAAACAACCATAGAGTACCTTGACCGTGGTCTGAAAATTGCGAAAGCCTTGGGTGACAGATTGGGAGAAGCAGCAGCGTACGGCAATCTTGGCATGACCCATCAGAGTCTGGGGAATTTTAAAACAGCCATAGACTACCATGAAAGTCACCTGAAAATTGCGAAAGACCTTGGTGACAAATCTGGAGAAGGAAGAGCGTATTGCAATCTTGGCATCGGCCATCGCAGCCTGGGAGATTTTAAAACAGCCATAGACTACTATGATAGTCATCTTAAAATTGCAAAAGAAATGGGTGACCAATCGGGAGAAGGAGCGGCGTATGCAAATCTTGGCATCGCTCATCGCTGTCTGGGAGATTTTAAGAAAACTATAGACTACCACGAACGCGACCTGAAAATTGCGAAAGAGTTGTGTGACAGACTGGCAGAAGGAAGAGCGTATGGCAATCTTGGCAACGCCCATCTTAGTCTGGGAGATTTTGAAACAGCCTTATATTACCATGAAAGGCATATGAAAATTGCGAAGGAATTGGAGAACCGATCAGGAGAAGGGACAGCCTATAGCAATATTGGCAACTCTTATAGAGGTCTGGGAGATTTTAAGACAGCCATAGACTACTACGAGCGTGACCTGAAAATTGCCAAAGAATTGGGTGACAAATCTGGAGAAGGAAGAGCGTGTGGCAATCTTGGTAGCGCCCATAGTAGTCTAGGAGATTTGGAAGCAGCCGTAAACTTTCATGAACGTTGCCTAAAAATTGCTAAAGAATTGGGTGACAGATCGGGAGAGGGAGCGGCTTATGGCAATCTTGGTAACGACATTCTCAGCCTTGGAGATTTTAAAACAGCCAAAGAATACTTTGAACGTCAACGGCAGATTTCAAGAGAATCAGGTGAGACATTGGGAGAAGGAATAGCGTGTTGGAATCTTGGTTACTATTATGAATGTCTAGGCCAACTTTCATTGGCTATTGAGTATTACCAACTTAGTGTTTCTTTGGTAAATAATATCAGAGATCGTCTTCAACTGAACGACGAGTGGAAAATAAGCAAGGGATCGATACCAAACAATATACGCTGCGCTTTGGCGCTTGATGTTAGCCGAAGGCAAGGTTGCGGAAGCTTTGTTTTCTGCTGAGCAAGGACGGGCACAAGGTCTAAAAGACCTTATGGCGCATAATTATGGATTGAAATTGAATGATGCTGAGTCAGGTAAAGGCAACAGATCCTTTCATGAACTCTCTAATCGCATTCCTCCGAATACTATATTTATGGCGCTAGGAAAGAACGAGTTAGTTTGCTGGGTTTATCAGAAAGGAAAGGAAGTTGAATTAAGAAGCAACCAGATCAGTACGCAGAACAAAATCAGCACTTTCTTTGAGTCTCTTGTGGAGCTTGTCTGTCAGGAAATTGGCGCAAGAGATAACGTTGAATGTGAAGATCGCTCACTTAAATTGGCAAGTGACGAAGGACTAACAGTTAAAAGATCACCTCAAGATTGCAGAAAAACCCAGCAATTACACCTTCAAAGTAGTGGTTTGAATACATTGTACGACATCATCATTGAACCTATCCAAGATCTTCTTGTGGGAAGTGAACTTATATTCGTCCCGGAAGGTCCACTTTGCTTGGCTTCTTTTGCTGCAATTAAGGGTCCAAATTCTAAATACCTCTGTGAATCATTTAGAATTCGCGTGGCTCCATCTCTCACCAGCTTAAAAATGATTGCAGATTGTCCATTAGACCACCACTGGAAGTCTGGTGTGCTTCTTGTGGGCGATCCATGGGTGCAAGAAGTGACAGAGCTGGAGCAGTTGCCGTATGCCAGAGAGGAAGTTGATATGATTGGCAGAATGCTCGGCTGTACGCCTCTTATTGGAAGACAAGCCACAAAAGATGAGGTATTAAGACGACTCGGTTCTGTTGCTTTAGTGCACATCGCTGCACATGGCAGCATGGAAACGGGCGAAATTGCCTTGGCGTCAAATAGTGGTGAGATGGATTTCATTTTGACGATGAAAGATGTAAAGCGTGTTCAGATTCGTGCAAAACTGGTTGTACTCAGCTGTTGTCATAGTGCTCATGGAATAATCAAAGCAGAGGGTGTAGTTGGCATAGCACGAGCGTTTTTAGGTGCCGGTGCTCGTTCTGTTCTGGTATCATTGTGGGCGATTGACGACAAGGCCACTCTTGAGTTTATGAAAAATTTCTATCAACATCTTGTGAAAGGAAAAAGTGCAAGTGAAGCCTTAAACCAAGCGATGAACTACATGAGAGAATCTGAGGAGTTTGGTGCAGTCAAATACTGGGCACCGTTTGTGCTTGTTGGTGATAACGTCACATTAGAATTTGCTGGATGCGAGTAGAATATGTCAAGGTAACTCTGCCTTTGAAAATGCCTTTAGACAGTTCGCGAACTTTTGAGGTCTTGACGGCTGAGGATTTTGCGACTCCTAATACGAAGATAGTTTTGTACTATTAATGATTTGCAAACCTTGCACTGGCACCAACCTTAATGTATTACGCTATCAAAATAACCATCAGAAAATATTTTCTATCGTTTTTCTAATTTAAAGCAAACTACTCTTCACGCAGTATCCTTGAAGCCTGGGCCCGGTTGTATAAAACCTACACTTAAGTGCCCACTTAAGTAGGTCACTTACGAATCCGTTATGGGTACACTTACGGCTGTTGCATGAAACGCACTTAGCACTCTCGTAAGTTACTCTTTTACGTGGTAACTTACGGGTTCACTTAAAGGCACACGTAACTTTGATGTAGTACTTTATTAATGGCTCACTCTTTTTTTTTTAAGCTAACCATCGGTGAGTGTAAAGAAAGTTTTAATTCGTTTCGAACACTTTTAAGCCTTAAAAAAAATGAAATTTGCTTGCAATCCTTATTTTTCTTCAATGTCCACTGAAAATGATGATTCTTCTTCTTTTTTCACAACGTGTACATCAGAGGTTAACAAAGCGCATTAGAACGAATTACGTGAAGAAAAATTACTTTTTTTCACTTCTCAGAAAAAGATCTCACTTTAGTAAAAACAGTAACGATACGGGACCTACATAGGTCCCGTAAATTTACGTGCTATTTTTCCCCTAAAAAAGGTTTTATGCAACACCCGCAATTTCTGTTGCATAACCGACACTTAAGTGAACACTTACGAAAATCGTAAGTACAGCCACTTAATTGAATTCCCTAAGTGGACCACTTAAGTGATTTAATGCAACTCACTTAAGTTGCGAGTGCACGTACGTATACCCGTAGTTGTTACGGGCGTTTTATGCAACCGGGCCCTGGCCCCGCTTGTTCAAACGTTGGATAGCTTTATTCAAGCACCTTATAAATCAATGTACCGCGAATAATTATTGGGAAAACCAATCGCGCCGTTCACTACATAGAAATTTATGTTAATGAATTTTTTTCAGGCTTCTTTACGCAATTGCATAAATTGCGTTCACTGCGACGATCATTTCTTCATTTTCATTGAAATTTATCTAGTTGATAACATCATCCACCTTTTGAACAATTTGGGGCCTGGTCCCGGCTCACTAGCGAGGCAAGCATAAGCATTAGCCTGAACATATAAGGAGCCTATGTGCTTGTAAGGACGGCCTTGGCAAGAATGGTTCGTTTAGTGCGCCCTATACTACTTATGAACGTGTTAAACTTCTTGTCAGGATTTCCGATGGGTGTGGAAGGTTTTCGTTCAACTCTTTCTCCTTTCGTCCTCTGAGTCGTTAAGGCTTGCTCGTAGACAACACACCGTACGTGCTCAAAGAGATTTCGACATGTACAAATACTTTTCTTGGTTTATTTTGCATCAATTTTTGTGTACAGGTGTATTTGAGTTTGTTTGTATTTACAACTTATTTATGTACTTTGCAATTAGTTCTATCAAAAGCGCTATTCGAGTAGGAAAGCGCTGTTAAATTGCCAGTCAGTTTTAATGTAACATAAAGGATTATAACAAACTTTGTTTTAGGAATTTAAGTGTGAAGCCTCTGCTTTTAAAAATGAGAACCTTTAGAGTAAAAAGAAAGCTGCCTTTTAAGCCCACATTTGCTTTTTCTTCTTTAGTGAAAAATTGACCCCTGACGTAACGCCATAGAAGAAAAGATGTTTTAGACGCGTACGTTCTCCCTTTTCTATAAAAGACGTTTCCACTTTAAACCGTTTGATAAGTCTTCCCTGCTTCGAACAGTGTGCGCGGGAGAAATGAACTGGGTTTAAGTTTTCTACTGTAGCAGAGATAGGTTTTACAAGCTAAAAAATGTACAAAGTACATTTTTTCTTTAATCAAATGATGGTTAAGACTACTACGTGTGGTTTAAGTGTACCAACTACATCTATTGTGGAGTCCGTATCTCTACAAACTACCGTATACGTTTAATAAGCAAGTTAGAAAACGATATGCAAACGAATAAGAAAACTAATCATTGCTTTGAAAGTACTCGAGGCGCGGGACTTGAGCAGAAGTGACCAGAGCTTTACCGTTAAGCCACCAACAGAAAGTCTGTCAATCAGGTCAAAAATACTCAAGGTTTCATCATGTCATATTCCCTCGTTTTGAAGACAATGGAGAGATTTAGAATCACGTTTACGGCAAACGGCGAACGTCAAATTTGTCAAAATAGGAAATGAGCAGATGAACACTGTTCAAAATAATTCTTGTTGATGAAACCTCTGTGAAAAAACTACTAATTTTTGTTAAGATTTATTAAACAGTCAACGATAAATAAAGAGAAAACTTGGTCACGTGGTACAAATTCACGTTTAGCGTTTTCAGTAATCATGATTCTAAATCTCTGTAATGTTGAACCAGTAAAAGTCTTTCGTCAGAACAGGGCGAGGTGAAGGGATACGAACAGACCCAGGGAGCCCAGACATGGGGTGATTTGCTTCACTCAGTCTCATGAACCGGAGGGCTGGCTCACAGGCAAAGGTGAAACTCGAAGCATTCATTAAGTATTTCATTTTTGTCTTCTCTAATTCCCGAAGATTGTGACCCGAGTTCTCTCTTGAAAAGCGTCCTTTTTTTAATTTTATATATAACAATGTAGTTACATAAGTAAGTAATTACAACACTGAGTCTAGAGCTTAATTCACTGGCACTGCAGCATCATACTGTAACATAGATGATTGCCACACGGTGAATTTTCTCACTGATAATGCGTTAAGTTTTAAAAATTTATCGACGTCCACGGATTGAGCGTGCGCTATGACTGGGAAGGGGTAGTTACGTAAAGGTTTGACGCGAAGTGTTCCTTGAGATATTCTCCGCCTTTCTCGTCATACTCCTCCCTAGTAACACTGACTGTCCGTAGGTTGTTGCTGAGAGTCCTTGCCCATTTACGAGCACCGTACCATGCATCGAGCACCGGGTTACCTGGATAAACGTGAGTAAAAAGGTTAGAAGAATTTTCAAAACCATAAAAGCTTTATTGAAATAATACGGTAGCCTGAGCACAGACGTCCCTTGTCTACTAAAGGCATGAGCTGTCGAAGACCTCAATAGTACATTCTCACTACACACGATTTGGATCCTTAGAGTCTCAAACGGTGGGATCACGTGACAGGGTTATGGACAATGTGTATCTGGAGACAAAAATCACTTTGAAAGTTTCCCTTTTCAATTAATATCTTTTATAAGACTGAAGCGTTTTAAGGTACATTTACCGAACGTTGCCTTTGCGCATTCTAATCTACCATTGTGTTGACAGAGAAGCAAAATATTCAACGAACCTGCCGTGAAAACTTTAAATGTAGATTGGAACGGTCGGATAGCAAGGAGCTCTCTCTCCAGACGTTCTTGAAAGTTGGGGAATTGTGTATTTCCTCCTGTTACAAACACATTCTAGAAGAAAAAAAGAGAAAGGCAATTACATGTGAGTCAGTACAGATTGTAGCATCGAATCACACCTGTTATCTCTAAGAAAAGTAGAGATATATAGAGCAGGCACCAGTACACGACGCTAATGGTTCTTAGTTTCTTGGCAGCACTTTAAATCTAGTAACACTCGCACCGGAAGTAAACGAGTTCCTTTTTTTTCCAATAAATACCAAATACTGAATCCAATTCACGGAAGTGCTGTTACGCGGCCTTTGGCGCTCGAAGCCGACTCCTCTGCGTACTTTGTGATTAGAATGGATACTCCGAAATCCAGTGGGACACCTCATGCCAATTCCACAACATAATATTCATTGCAAAGAACTACATTAATTGGACACACATTTTGAGAAATTTGAAAGGATCAAATAGCATCAGTTGTGTAAGGAAAGGTGTTCAGTGTGGAATTCAGCACGCATCTACAGTGATAAGGATCACGCGTTGATTTGACCGTTAAGTGTGAAATATTGTAATGGGCAACGTACGCCATATATATATATGTGATAAAAATAAGCCGTTTCAATGGAAAACCTAATTTGAAGTATCCACTCTGGTGCTTCATTCTCTCTTAGATCGTATGTTTTAAGATCGTCTTCATTTGGACTGACGACAGTTAACTAATTATCGTAAAATAGCACCTTTCAATTGAATATCGGAAGTCAAAAGCAATGCCTAACACTGTTAAACGAACGATCTAAACTCTATAGAGAGTGCTGACGTCTAAGCTGGATAGGCAATTTTTAAAACTAGTAACATTAAAGAGTTAAAAATTTCGTTATTCCACTCGTACCTGCACTAATGCTGTTTGTAAATCGGCCGAAAAGTGGTTAAGTATAAAATCAATAGTTTCTGCAATACCGGCTTGTTCAATACCAAACATAGAAGGTTGATATACGATCTCAGGAACTCTGGGAAAAATAATGAGACAAAAAAACAATAAGTAAACAGTTTGTCCTGCGTCACCACGGAATCAATGAACGCCTTTAACACAGGTTATTTCAGTATCCCTGTATTTCATGTTAACATGTTGCCACCAAAAGCGTGGTCCACGATATGATATCCTAACCTCACACAACCCACAATCCCTTTACTCGCTCTGACGAAGGCTAGCCCTCGAAACGTCAGCTTTGGAAGCCTTTACGGTAGACCATTTACTTTTGTAACACAGGGGGATTTGACGACATAGGGGCACTTGACCGCTTATTCTGACCACAGAAAGAAACATTTCAAAGCCAATTTCGACCCAGGGGCCGAATTGACCGGTACTTTAACAGGAGATAGAACTGAACGGGCAAGGTGCTTCGAGCGTTTTTGCCGGTACTTTAATTCTAGGCTTTCGTTTATTGGCAAAATGACATTAACATGACTGGTACCAAGGGTAATATTTATTGTTGTTTCCCGAAATTCTCAAGGTTTCTCGAGGCGGAGCTGAGGAACTATTCCACTCGCGCTGTACGAGAGACAACCACAACTAGTTACCTTATTCTCTCAACACCAAGATGGAGCTGATAATATTCCGCCCAGTCAACGGCAGATTCTGGTTTGCGACCAAAACGTCTACAACAGCAAAGAGACACGAGAACAATAATAATAAAAATATTTAAAGAAAATAGCCGAATCGGACAACACATGAAACTACTTACCGTAAAATTCTGAAAATAAGCCCTTCCATGTATAAGCCCCTCCAAATATAAGCCCCCAAAATTCGTAACTCAAAAAACCCTCCGTTAAATCGCCCCTCCAAATATAGGCCCCCCCGGGGCCTGTACTTGGAAATTGTCCTCAAAATACAAAGTAAAACAAAGCAAAAACGGTAAATTTCCTTCCAACTATAAAAGCTAGCCCAATCGATTTTGAAACGCAGATTTCCCTCCATATAAGCCCCTCAAAAAGGGCCTTTAAAAAATATAGGTCCCGGGGCTTATTTTCGGAATTTTACGGTATTTTGGGGGGGCATAAACAATTAACGATAGCTAAAGCAAAAACTTGGCCAGGCGAAAAAAACAGTTTGCCATTTGTTGAACACGTGATTTGAAAGTTTCCCGATAAACGGAAACAAACTTTCAGACAACTTTGGCTTCTGTGTGCCAATGGACGATCGTAAACGGAAATTGTGGCGAATCCTGAGTAAATAAGTCCATAAATGGACTCGGAAATCGCCAATTTAGCCCCGTGACTTAACGTCACAAACTACAACAATAACACTGTCAGTATCAACGGTAAACTCATGCAACACCGACATAATAATTAGAATAATACTTATTATTATAATTTCCGCCTCTCCCTTTTAAACAATTTTTATTGCGGCATTCTCCATCTATATAACTGCTACATAAGTTCAGTAACATCTGCAAACCTGAAGAAGGCTGGTATGGCCAGCCGAAATATTGTCATAAAAAAACAATACACGTTGTTATGAATCAGCTTTGCAGTAGTCTTTGGACTTCTCGTTTTTGGTTATAATTCATCCTGAGCATCACAGTCGTATAAGAAAAAATTAATGACATTTCCTATGCAATTTTTTGGGGGGAGGGGAGGGGGAGCAAGCAAGGTGCATTATGGAAATGCGAAAATGGCGAATGTAATTGCTGCTATTTATGTACACGGGACAGTATAACCCAACGTTCCAAGGCTGTTTGCATGGCTATAATCTTTTCCTTTCGTTTTAGGATAGATGTCGTCAGATTCTTTATGGCGGACTGCAAAGCCTGTCATTAACAGTGAACAACAACAAAAATACGGTATAAGAGTTCACCTTAGGAATTATGAAAAAGATTTTCAGATCTGGACCGATTTGTTGGAAGACTGACTAGCTTCAGTCCTAGGTTATCTGTAAACGAAGCATATGAGTGGTAACTAATCGTCCGAAACTAAACGCGCTAACCATCCCTTGAAAATTACAAGCAGGACTTCAGAATCGAATATAATTTTGCAGTTCCTTTACTTTTACGCCGCCACATTATCTGACAGGCTGAAAAATCTCGCGTCTTTTTTTTTAACCAATCAACTGCTCGCGAATGGCGCGGACCCATTTTCCCGCTTTCCGCTGCAACTACTTGTAATTGAAACTGTTAATTGGTTCATTAGTTTGTCACTGTCTAATGTGATTGGTCAGAATGATTCTTCTGACAGATTTTGACCAACATCGGCTTTCAATCGATATTCTCTCGATACGAAACAAGTAATATATTCGGCATTTTTTGCGACCTTTGACATCGATCTGGATACCATGATCTCAGAACGTTTGAAAAGTTAACTTAACAAATGGAAAGGTACAATTTTTACTTCAGAACTCTGGAAGCCTGCCTCCGTTAGTGACATCTGTAAACAAAGGACTCTCCTGAAAAAAATTGAGGGCGTTACATGCTCTAGAAGACCTAGAACCACTTTTTAAAATTTTCTATACATTTGTCTTGGGAAAATTACAGGCAAATATATGGAAAAGCTAAAGCAAGCCTCTGGAGAAATTTAAGCACAGGTATCCCCCCCAAATTTTTTAGGACAATCCTTTGCTTGGTAGCTTTAGTTTACAATTGATATTTTTATCAGAACAGCCGTTTTATGGAAATTTTTCGACATTAGATTCTCATACAAACACTGTAATTTCTCATGCGTTTGCCTACTCGTCAAGAAGGCGTCGAAAACCTTGACAAGGTCTATTGTATGCCCATACTTTCCACCCTCCCCGTCCACACATTGATACCTGCGTTATGCAGTACATTGTACTTACCCCCCTTCCTCCAACGCCAAAACCATCCCACCCCACCCCACACAGAAATCGACCAAGTGCCTAGGAGATTCAGGAAAATCAGAGATAAAAAACCGAGCTTGACAAGGAGTCAATTAATTTTAATTTTATAATAAATAAATAAATAACAATTTAGTGATAGTACATCCACATAGTGGTTCTTCATTAACCTTTCCTGATTGAGGAGAGGGGAAAGCCGAGTACCTGGAGAAAAACCTCTCAGAAAAAGGGACAGAAGTAACAACAAACTCCAACACTACTGGGAGGCGAGTGCTCTCACCACTGTTCCAATGAATGGGAGCTGAGGTTAGCTTTCATTTGAATCATTGGGAGATTGAAAAAACTGTATAATTATTTAGTGTTAACGAAATCAGTAAATTCATGCAGGCTTAACTATGCTGAGTAATAACTAATTAATCATTTTGTGTCAGCTGCAACCAGGGAATATGGAATATGGTGAAGGAACTGGGAAACATTTGTGATGCTGTTGTGATGCTGTTGACATCACTGACTTCAGCTCCAGTTCTATTTCGTGCTCAACAGATGAATGATGAAAGATGGAAATCTTGGCTTAGCTGCATCCACCAAATCTACCAAGTGTGCGAAGCACCTCTTCTTTGTAAGCTTCCTTTTAGTCGGCAAACAGTTGATGATACTATAAGGAAAGGAAAATCCCTTCAAGAAGCAGCCTGTCAGGTAATTTTAAGTGAAGGGCAGCTAATTTGGTATAATGTTCTTTTAAAGTTAGCAGGATTTTAGATGGGCTTTAAAACATATTTTTTATTTTTGCTCATTTAATGAGGGTATTTATGACTGCTGTTTACATGTAGCTTTGTGTTGTTTTTTCCTTTTTTTAGATTATACTGTTACACAAACACAGACCAGAGAAGGTTAATTTTCTTGTCACCAAAAATGACTGGGATGCAGTCAAGACCATCTGGTAATGAGAGTACCTTGAACACCACTAATGAAAAAAAAAACTAAATGCATGTTGCCTCCCATGGCCTGCCCCTTTTCACTTGTGGAAATACCCCAGCCAAATTCTATGGGTGTCACTAAGGGCCAGGGACAGGGTAGTTCCTCTGGCTTTCATATGTATAAGCATGACCCCAGCTATTTTCTTAGTGGCAGCCTCCAAATTTTAACAAACTTTTTGCTGGAACTTTTACATCAAATGTCATGTTTGTTCTCTGAAATATTCCCCAGAGTT